AAATATTTACAAATTAAAAATGATATAGTTTGAATTGAACTAAGAAATGACCACTAGACAAACATTAATTTTTATTTATATAATCTGGTTAAAAAATTTATGATTTTTCTACTCTAAAGGCATTTTCTTATGCAGTAACACCACAAAAATAGCTTAAGTTTAAAATAGTGGATTTCCCATATGGTTAGTCCACAGCAAGATAAAGTTGTAAATGAGGGGACTATGTGAAGAAAACATAAAAAAGCCTTAAGGGCACATGCAAAAAATGTGATATTGCATGATTTACATACACAATTTTATTCCCCAAAATTCAAAGAGAAAAACTTAATATGTCATAACTTAAACTGTATTTCATATAAAGTATTCCTGATTACGTATTTAACTCTAAGATACATAACTCAATTTAGAGCATAATGTGGGAGAGGAGTTAGTAAGAATCTAACCTTTTGCATTTCTTGACTTTTTTGGGCTTGTGGTAATGTTGTATTTATAGACATTCTACACTTTCAAATTTAAGTCTTGAAATGTCAAAAAAAAAATCCCAAAGCTGAGATCTCACAGAAGGTGATTTTTAACAGTCCTTAAAAGTAAAGACTTATGATCTTCTGACAACTGGAGCTTTCACATTTTAAGATATAAAAATTTCAATCCTAATATTACATAAGCATACACATCGATACACTTTTAAAGATTCCATTATCTTTGATAGGCCTGGGAAGGAGGAAAATAAGAAAACAAAAAGTTGTGAGGTTCAGGAATACTGTATAAGTACAAATATAAAGAAGTAAATACTTAATCTCTTGTGTATTTAAAGGTGGCCTCTTATAAGAATATATTTCCAATGTAAATCACAACATCTAGCTAATTTTTTATTTGTCATAATAAAAAGTGCACATTCCACCAATATTTTGGAGTTGTAACTGGAAGAAACAGTCTCAGAGAAGTTAAGTGATTTGATCGTAATTGGTAGTTAGTTTTAGGGTTATGTCTGGAATATACCAAGAATCTTTTCTTCAAGTTTCTTCTCACTCCCATAGCTAAAATTTTAAACATAATTCTTGGAATTCATTTATTTTCAATGTATACTGCTATCATCCATGTAATTACAGGTATGTCACAAAATCTTTAGTTTTCTCATCACTTTCAAGTCAACAAGTATTTTTTTACCACCTACTATGAGTCAGATTTAGAGATTACAATGATGGTAAGACAAAGGTTAATCTTATTATTGGGTATTTTATGGTCTCATGAGGGAAAGAGGATTGGCAAACAAATATCATTAAAGGCACTGCTTAATTTGACCAGAAAAGTGTCAGAGTCAAAGGTGACATTCAGTTTCTCATTACTAAGATTAAAGATAGGGTCTGGACTAAATGATGTCTTGGTCCCTTTCTAATAAAGTTTTAAATTTTATCTTTTCCTCTCCTCTATTGTTTCTTAGATAGATTTATAAATAAGCAGGTAATTGATAATACCAAAATTTCCAGTGATTCATTGGAACACAGTGATATGTTTATGAATAGGCACACAATGAACAAAGCCTTTTATCTGCAAATGAGTTTGTGAAATTATGGGTTTCTTTGGCATAGGCCTTTAATGTGTTAATGTGCAGTGTATCTCCAAGAGGAAGATTGTATATGTAATGTTTCCTTTTTTTCCAATCAAGAAAAAAAAATCCCTCAAATAGGAGCTTTTATTACTATCTGAGCTCTCAGAATTACGATTCCCAGTTGTATAGTTTGGAAAATACTAGCTCCAGACTGTTGTAATATTCTAACTGGTCTTCGGAAACAACCCGACCTACATATGCACTGGCAAGATAATCCCCCTAAAGAGTTACTTTCATCAAATTTCCCTGTTCAAAAACCTCCAGCGACTCTATGTGGCCTATAAATTAAAGGTAAAACTCTTTAGACCCTCTAGAGATGCTGCTTGTAAATTTCTCTGTAACTTTTTCTCTCACAATTTCTAAACAAACTCCAGCCACAATGCTGCTGACTTTAGATGCTCTGCCTTAGATCCTACCCACTCCTTTTCTGTGCCTATAATGCTTTCCCCTCCCCACAAAATTACCTGTTACTTCTCTGATAAAACCCAGTTTGGGATCTGTCTTCTCAACAAATTAGCATAGTATGCAAACTTTAAGCTAGTTACCTGAACCACATTTTGTAAAATTGTTATGTTTTTTATTGCTATTTTTCTTTTAAGCATGTATTTTCTGCCCCTTTTGGCCACATTGCATAAGTTCACTGAGGCCAGGCACAAGCCTTGCATCCCAGAATTTAGCACATTCTTTTGTACTTAGTAGCATCCTTTTTGACAGTAATGACAAGACTACTGATGACAAAGTAAAAATTACAAGAAAAGAGAGGAATTTAAACCAGTAGCCCAAATGATCATTCACAAACTAAATACAGAGTGGTCTACAAAAATATTAACTAATTTTTCCAAATGTCAAATAACTGCCCAGGCAAGAGTTTTCAACTTTGATTTCTGATATATCCTAATGTAAAATATAAGTGAAATATTTGGTAAACACTGTAATTCCATTACTTAATGTTTTCTTCATTTAAATGCTCTTAAATGGTTTCAGCTTATTTCACATAAAGGAATAGCTTTAATTCAAAATGAGATTTTTTTTATCCCAATGCAGAAGGCTTACATTAGGAGGATGACTCAGTAACAAATATTCTAAAATATTACCTGTTATAATTAATAAGTGAATTTGATAAAACATCAAAGTATTAAACAGTTTGTCTCTTAATTTTAGGATACAGTCTAACTTAAAAAAAAACAATTCTCACAAGCCATTTCATCTTGCCCATTGAAAAAAATGTGTGTTGCTCACTAACATTTGTTATTGCAATATTAATTCTGAAATTTGGATAAAATTTAACTTCAGCTAACACAAGGCCTTGGTGACTTCCCACCTCGTAAAAAGTCTCATTTTTTTTAACATATAAAATTTCCCCTAATTTCTCTTCTTCTAGTAAATGAAAGAAAGAAACAGCTCTTGAACAAATTTTGATTAGGCTAAAAGTTTTATTTTTTAAAAAAGGATACACATTTTGAACCAGAGATGAAAATGAATTCCTTTTAAGATATAAAAATAACATTGCCCTTTCTAAATCTACAGTATGTATTTTTAAAGAAACTGTAATATATTCCACTAGTTTAGTAATTCTTGTGAATGTTATTAATTACTTTAATTATGTCTAGTACTTGCATTAATATGTGCATACTTTCTCCCTTTTTACAAAACCTCTATTAGAGGCTCTGGAAGGTATAAGCCATGATAGCAATGACCCTGTCAAACTCTTTATCTCTGTAACTCAGGGCCTAGGACTGTGCCTGGCACATAGTAGACACTTGATAAATATTTGTTAAATAAACAGATAGCTGGAAAATATGTTCCATGAGGAAAATGAATGTATTGCCTTTTATTAGTTAGGAATCTGGCCCTGGGAGTCAGAATGGCAGTGTTTGAGTTCTGGCTGCACTATTTCCTAGCTGTTAGATCTCTCTAAATCTATTCCCTTCCCTCACCTGCAAAATGGAATGATAATAGAATCTGCCTCACATAGTTACCATGAGGACTAATCCACATAAATACCTGACACATAGGGAACACTCAATACAGGCTAGCTGTTATTATCATTATCAACATCATCATCATATTCTTCTTCTTCATTTGTCTTGTTTACTACTTACCTCCTGTTTCAAGCACATAACATATGCTTAATAAACATATGCTAAATGGAGAAATAAATCAATGAAGTGCAGATGTACCTGTATAGACAAGTATGTTTAGCTACCCTCAGTATACATTTTGTCGGGATTCAGACAAATAACAAAAAATTTAAAAACATAATTCAAAGTTAGTGCAATTGAGTTCTTATTTGAATCTGCTTTTAAGAGATCCAGTCACATAGTGCTTTGGAGAATACAGTTCTTTTTATTATGTTTTTGAATTTCTGGTAGTACCTAACACAGATGTTTGCATCATTTGTACTAAAAAATACCCTAGTTAGCAACCAAGTCATATAGGTAAAAATTAAAAACAAATGACCACAGACTAAAGAGTGGGTAAACGGTAGCATTCTCATGATATTTAACTATCTAATCTTAACAAACCAGTTTGCAGCATTTATATTTCTTGCAATATTGCTGTACATTGAAGTGTTATAGTGAGGATCATTGCTTTTACACTTTCTAACTTAGAACTTCAGTTGAAATTGTGTCCTAAGTAGCAACTAAAGAGTTATATTTCTACAAAGTCCCTCCTTGTGAGTAGACAACAGAAATAAGTCTTAGGTCATGTGGCTCTGAAGTATTTAATTCATCACTGACTTACATATTTTTAGATCTCATATTTGTAATATTTCTCATCAGAAATGCCCTATATTAAAGAGCACTGATAAGTTTTCTAATTTATTTTGAGCTTCACTCTGGAAAGACGCTATCAGATTATAGAGTAGCCTGGTTATTTTTAAGGCTTATATTAGTTTTTTTTTTTAAATTTATAAAATCAATATAAATTTTAGCAGCAAAGAATTTAGGTTTTCTCTTTTTAAAGACAACATAAATAATGAATAATTATTTTGAGTGCGTGAAGAAAGGCAGGACAAAAGACTCAGATAATACTTAAATTCCTCCATTTACTTGTTTACATTCTTTGTACAATTATTTTCCATCTCCACTGTATTTTCCACATTGAAAAAAAGTTAAAAACTTATAAAATATTCACAAGCCCTTCGTCTTCCTCATGACATTTCCCACAAATATACTGAAGAAAGAACTGCTAATTCTAAAAGCTGATTCTCCAAGTTAGTGGTTCTAAAAAACGTTAGCTGTTAGTTTGTTCACTATAAAATAACCAGAGGGTGCTTGAGCCTCATCCAGGATTTACTGCTTCTCATGTCCTGGGGACTGAATGGGTGACTGTGTCAAGGTGACAGGAAAGAGAAATAACCAGTATTTGCTTGTCTATCGAATCCAACTTCCTTCTAGTTTCTTCTCTCCTTCCTTGCCTCTTTCTGTTTTCCCAGGCCTTGTATGTGGGCTTCTTATATGTATTTCCAACCCTTCTGGGGATTCTAGAAACTAGTTCGTGTTGAAGCTGCCTAGTCATTTATTCTGGACGAAGGCTGCTGAAATTCCAGATCTTAAACTTGAAAGAAATACTAAACAAATACCAATTTTAAAACACATATGAATCATCTCCGTCTAATGTAATAACTGCAAAAATATACTGACTATGTGTTAGGCATGAGCTAACTGCTTTACATATATTATTAGCTGCTATCACATATTTAAAATGAATCCAAACACAAATATTTTTCCAGAAGCAAGTGGAAGTGAGGAGGGTGGTATTATTCTGATTCTGACTTTATTCACATTTTTAAATAAACTTACTTTTTACTCTTTAGTAATTGGGGATGAATCTCTCAAAGATAAATAAAGGTTGACAAAGGTGTTGGTGAAAGAAGACAACTCAGATAGTCAAAAGATGCTTTTTTCTACCCAAGTCCAACTATAATCCTGGGGGTCTTCAACATTCCCATGAATAACCTATCCAAGAGTCTGACTGCTAGATTCCTTGACTCACAGTGACCCTTCCCTTCCACTCCATTTCACCTGCCCATTCTCAATGTTTTATTCTGGATACTGCAGCATTCTTCTGAAACAATAAATTTAGACATTCCCCTAATTTGACCACAATCTTCTAACTTTGTAACCATTTTTCTAAATTCCCTTTCTTAACTTAAAAAAAATCTGGCAGGGCTTCCAGTCCATTTATCCTTTCCTTTCTTCCTCTTAGCCCTTGTCTTGTTTTCACTTCTCAACCTAACTGTTTGAAGACCGTGGTCTGACATTTCACTGTGCTTTCCTAATCTGCTAGGTCGCAACTGTCCATTTAAGGTACTTGTCTGGAACACTCCAAGGTTGGATAAACCCAGCTAACTGGCTTGTTCCTGGCTAACAGATTGTCGTTCCTACAAACAAATCATCATCAACTGCAACAGCCCTCAACATTGTTCAGCCATTGTAGTATGCAATTCCAGACAACTCTCCAGATGTTATCATTTAAAAGCTTAAAAAAATCATAAAGGCAGTAAAAGAAAATAAAAGAAAGCATATGTATATTTGTGGGGAGGGACTTAACGGCATGCCAATAAGACTAGAAACTATTAAAAAATTGCATTTTTTGGCTACGTAAAAACTAAAAACTTCAGTTTGGAAAGAAACCTTAACGAACTCCATAAGCAAAGCAAAAAGATAAAAGGCAACTAGGCAAAAATATACTACACACAATAAGGAGTGTTATCCATCATTTTTAAAGAACTCCTACTATCAATAAAGAAATGACAAAGACAATTAAAAAGAAACACCTGATAATTTATAAGATAAATATAAATGACTAATAATCATATGAAAACATGCTCAATCTCACTGCTTTCCAAATAAATACAAATTTAATTGAGGCTTTTTTTGCAGAATAACAAAGATTAAAATAATTAATAACATTTAAGACATAAATGCAAACTTGTATAACTATTTTGCAGAACAATTTGGCTATAATTTTCCAAACTAAATACATGCTTACCTTTTGACCTAGAAATTTCAGTTTTTGATGTTTATTTTGTAGAAACACTAGCAAAAATGTGTAAAGATGCTTACTTCAATACTATTAATATTAGCCAATAAAGGAAGAAAAATGAATAACTTTCAATAGAGACTCAATAAAATAAATTATGGCATATTCAACCAATTAAATGCAATGTGGTTGCTACAAAGAAGAAAGTTGTATCTACAAACAACTACATGAAAAATATCCAAACTACAATAGGAATATGTATTTCTTTTTTGGTAAATGGAATGTATTATTTTTATAATTGGAAAAAAGTAATAAAAAGAAAATCAAGTTATAGGACAATACACATATGAGCCTGTTTATTTGGAAGTCTGTGCACACTGTTATTAATAGAAACAGGTTATTTCTCAGGGGTGGTATGATTAGGGATTTTAATTTCTTTTTATCACTTGAATTTTTTTTTTTTTTAGAATGGCCATTTTAAAATAAAAAATGTAGATGTTTTCATTTGCCTAACTAAGCCCATCTTACATTCTTTTCAAACTTCAGACTGCAATCTTCCCTTTCTCTTGAGCATGTCACCTGGTCTCCTCCTTCCAGGCAAAACCAAAATTAATCCGAATGGAATTCTTTAACTTTCCACTACCAAATCAGGAGACCTGTCAGCATTAGACTCATGCTCCTTCTTTCTGAAGGCAAATTTTCTTCCAAGTTAAACTCTCAATCAAATCCTGCCTTATCTTCAAGGCATTTCCATTCTATAGCCTAATTCTCTACATCTTCATATTCTGACTAGCTGTTTATACAATTTATAATTATTCAGGTCTCTTTCGTCTTAAATAAACTAAAACCTCTGTTGACTCTTCCTTCTCTTCTAGTTGTTTCAAAAGTTTTCCTTTCTCCTCCGCAGTCACTTCCTTTTCTTTTAAAAAAATTGTATATATCTATATAATAATCTCTCTCAGTCTTGAGCCTCAGCCAATATATTTAATAGTTTAGTGTCCATTTCTACTTGGAGGTCTGGCAGGCACCTCAAACTCAGCATGTCAAAACTGAACTCATCATTCTCCAAAAAATATTTTCTCTATTAATGATAGGCATCCATATAATTGCCAAACGAAAAGTCTGGACACCAAACTGATGCTTCTGCCCTATTACCCAGGAGAACCCATCAATATTCAGGACCCACTGAGTTTCTTAAACATCTCTCACATCAAATGATTTTCTCCATCTCCACCACTCATCCAGGTCATCATGATCTAACTAGCTTTGCTTTGAGTCCTGTAACTCTCTTAATCCATTACCATTATCACTGCTAGAATGTTCACTGAAAAATTCAAATCTAATCATATTATATTCCCTTTCTTAGAACCCTCTTTCCAAGTTTTTACAAGGCTAAGAAAGCTCTCCATGACCTAGCTCCTGTTTATTTCTCTAGGGTCATTTCTTTTTATTGTCCTACCCTTATACTCTATTCTCCAGCAACACTGGACTTTCTTCAGCTGTCAAATGTACCACATATTCTCTTGTCTTTGCTTGGAACTCAAAACACTAATTTCTGTGCCACCATCCTCATTCCCTACACATAATTTTACTCTCACTGACCTGGAATGGCTAACTTACATTTTTTGGGCCTTTACTTTTTAAGAGCAGAGGCTGTACTTGTTGTCAGGGTTGTGTCCTTAGCACCTAGTATAGAACCTGGCATATGGCAAGTGCTGAGTGGCAGAATATAAGCGAAGGGTATTATATAAAAAACTGGCATTAAAAAGGCTGATGAATTGTTAAAAGTTTTACTGTCATCACAGACTAGGCCAAGTTAGTTTCCCATATTGCTAAGACACAACATTCTCTTATACATCTTCCCACATAACTAAGAAAGATATTTATCTGGAGTCAAGCCAGTCCTTAGACTCACCTTCTGTTCTTTTCTTTTACCTTTAAACCCAGCAGAAATTAGTCAGAAATGTAGATATATGGCAGACATTCAAAATTCTTTATGTCTAGAAACAAATTAAAAATCTCACCCTAGAAAACTTGTTTTCTCTTCCTGTACTTGCATTGCTAATGGCAACACCAATTATCTACCCTGTAAAATTAGAAAGCATTCATCTTTTCCTCAACCTCTTCATAAAAGTAAGCTGTAGTCTCAGTTCCCTAGATATTTATTCCTTCCTCTCGCATCTCCATAACAACTATTTTGATTTAATTCCCATTATGTCCCCTGTAATATACTCCTAACTGTTCTCCTCTTACTCTATCTCTTCTCTTCACACCACCACTACCACTGTGACCATGCCCGTCCCAAGCTTACAAACTTCTGATAGCTCCCCACCATCCCTAGAGAATAAAGTCTTAGCTACTTCTTAGTATAATCCCCTCTATCTTCCAGATCTCATTTTCTTTAATTCCTCATTCTATGGGTCCTACGCTCAGCCATACCAAATTTTTGCTAGTCCCCAAACCCGTAACCCTCTTTTGTACTCTGTACCTGGGCATATATATATCTTTTTTTTTTTTTTTTTGCACAGAATGTCCTATTTTTCTCTACTCATTACTTCTGGAATCATTTCAAATTTTACTTCCTGTGAAAACCCTTTCCAAACACTGAAGCCAAGCTAGTGACTCCCACTCCCTACTGTGTATTCATAGCACTTTGTATGTTTTTCTAGTGACAGATATCACATTAGTTTGTAATGATTTGTTTACATGCTATTGTGGTGGCTGCTAACTGTTTCTGAAACTCTTGCTAAAACAATTGTAATCAAGCACATGGACACCAACGCATTACATTTCCAAGCTCCCTTCCTCTTAGGTTTGGCCATTTAACTAAGTACTTGCCAATGGAACAAGCATAGAATTGATTTGTGTCACTTCTGGCCAGTTCCTTAAAGAAGTGGGCATGTCTCCTCCATGTTCTCTCTTCCCACTTCCTGTGGTCAAGAATGATGATGAATCTGCAGCTCAGCTGTTGCCATGCAGATGAGAATACTGCCTTGGTGATGGCAGAGAAACAGGACGGAAGGTCCTAAACCTGGCTGTTTGGGGCAGAACCACCTGCCCATCTGGACTGCCACCTTGGACTGTTATGTGACAGAGAAATAAACTTCTATATCGTCTATATTTCTGGGGTCTTTTTATTATAGAACTTAGCTAATAATACAGGCCTTTCTCTCCTTTTGTTTCATTTACATCTTACAGATGTGCTATATTTCTTTGTTCCTCCTGTGACAAGGACAGAGTACTCAATTAATGCTTGCTGAATTCACCTTGAAAATAAAATGGTACCTTGCCTAGGCTCACCCTTGTGGAGGGCCCAGAGGCAAAGAGGTAAGACAAAGCAATACAATATAAAAATATTTCACATGCTACCATGTCTGAGCACCTTTGGAGACATTAGGTCTTACTAATCAAAGATCTGAAGACTCTTAAAGAAACAAAACCAATATATTGGGAAAAGAGGTTTAGAATCTGAGATCAGGACTGAATGAAACACTTAACTACTCTAAAGGAAGTGGGTAAATGAGGACCATCAACTCTACTGGTAGCAGTAACATCATTCTGTAAAACTCACATCTACTGGATCTGGTCTAACTTCCTCCTGATAATCCTGCTTTATGGCTTTACTAGTAGTAGCTAGTCCTCAAAGATAGTTGCTCTCCTCTTCCCGCCAACGAATCATGCCTCACAGTGTAATGCATGTATATATAGCCTCCTCCCCTTGAATGGGATGGTCTCATGACTTTCTTTCTTTCCTTTTTTTTTTTTTTTTTTTTTTTTTGTATTTTTAGTAGAGACAGGGTTAAACCATGTTGACCAGGCTGATCTCAAACTCCTGACTTGATCCACCTAGTGCCTGGCCGCGACTTTCTTTTTGAACATGGAATATGGTGGAATTGATGCGGCATGACTTTTTAGACTAGATCATAAGTTTTGCAGCTTCTGTCTGGTACTCTTGGCATCATTACTTGTTCCTGGGATGCTCCCTCTTAGAACACAAACCATCCTGGAGGAAGCCCAAGATACATGGAAACGTCATGTGTCATGCTCCAGTAGATAGTGCCAGCTGAATTCCCAGTTGATCCCAGACATGTGAATAAGTCACCTTGAATGTCGAGGGCAGTGATGTTTCAGATGACTCTAGTCCCAATCGGAATTTCACTATAACCATATGAGAGAACTCAGGCAAGAGCCTACCAGTTAAGCTAAGCCAACTCGTGGAACCATCAGAGATAATAATTGCTGTTTTCAGCCACTAAGTTTTTGGATGGTTTGTTATATAGCAATAGATGACTGACTATAAATAACTGTTATAGCAATAGATAAGTGTAACTGCTATAAACCCGAGCCACTGCATAATGTAAAGATTTTTGGACCATTACTTGGAAGTAGTTTGGGCTACTAATGGAGTGTCTCACAGAAGTCAACATAGCAGCCTTACTTTTTTCTCAATTTAATGTTTGTTTCTCTTAAGTTTCAAAATAATAATTAAAAAAGACTACTTGAGAGAGCTTTTAAAAGCTCAGTCTTCTTTCAATGTGTTTGCTTCCCAGGGGGAAAAAGAGACAAAATTATTACTGCATAAAAGTCATGCTTCCCCTCCAAAGAAAAGGAAAGTTGGTTTGAAACATGGATTTAAAAAGTTAAGTGCCAGCATACCAGGATGATATTTTATAGCAATACATAGATTGCAATTGGTAGCATGTATTACTAAGTTGGTATAGTTGGCATGTAGCCATTGTGGTATCCAATGAGAACGAACTGTCAAGGCCTCATCTTATACTTATCTCACCCATTCCCCATTCAGTCCAATGACTTCTTTTAAGTATCTCTAAATTTATATTACTGCTTTCCTACAATGGCTCTGGGATAACTTTGCTCTGTAAGATCAATCATTTGATTTCAGAGGAAAGCATCTTAAAGGTTTAGTAATCTTGGAAGGAGGCAAGATTGAATCCTCAAATGACTTTAAAAGAATATAAAGTCTGAATGCAAGGAGCTTAATCGGAAATCTCAATTTCTATGTCTTCTTCTCCATCGACTATTCCAACGTCCAGTGTCGGAAAGCTATTCTCAGTTCTACCACAGAACTGACATGTAGGCACGCTGCATGCACAGTCTTTCCCAAACTTCCATAGAATCTTTCCTATCCTGTGTTCCATCATTCTTGCAGAGATTCTACTAACAAACTGACTGTTCCATTTGAAGAAAAACTTACGTTGACTCTCCTGGCCAAGTCACGTTGATTTTATGTCTGCATGTCTTTGGATTCTGTACCTCTCTTCTCTTTCACTCTCATTGCCAACATTCAGGCATCACTGCCTCTTGCAGGGACTATAATAATGAACTTTTAGCTGCATTTTCCCTATCTTCAGCCTTTCCTCAGCAATATATTTTACTCACAGCTGCTAGATCCATTTTTCTGAAATGTAGCTCAGATAGTTCATTTCCTCCAAAATTTTTTAATCCTTTGGCCTAAAAAAAATATGGTCCAGTGTGGATATCCTGGGAGTTCACTCCCTCCAGGCTGTGCCCAACAGACATAGGGGAGCACAGGGCCCTGCCCCTTGAGGTACAATCCCTTTCCACAACGTGGGAGATGCTGCTGAGTCTGTGTCTGTGTATTCCTACAGCTTCTCAGAGTTCTGTGGACAATGACTAGGGAGACAAACCAGGCAGGAAACATGTCTAATATGTGAAAATTTTAAGACCAAGTAAGATCTTTAAAAATGTAATATTAAAAAAAACCAAAAACAAAAACTGGGGATCTGGGCAAGATGCCCGAATAGGAACAGCTCTGGTCAGCAGCTCCCAGCGAGATTAACACAGAAGGCAGGTGATTTCTGCATTTCCAACTGAGGTACCCAGCTCATCTCATTGGGACTGGTTAGATGGTGGTTGCAGCTCATGGAGGGCGGGCAGAAGCAGGGTGGGGTGGCAACTTACCCGGGAAGTGCAAGTGGTTGGGGAACTCCTTCCCCTAGGTAAGGGAAGCCATGAAGGACTGTGCCTTAAGGGACGGTGCATTCCAGTCCAGATACTACGCATTTCCCACGGTCTTTGCATCCTGTAGACCAGGAGATTTCCTCGGGTGCCTACACCATCAGGGCCCTAGGTTTCAAGCACAAAACTAGGCAACCATTTGGGCAGACACCAAGCTAGCTGCAGGAGTTTTCTTTCATATCCCAATAATACTTGGAACACCAGTGAGACAGAACTGTTCACTCCCCTGGAAACGGGGCTAAAGCCAGGGAGCCAAATGGTCTAGTTCAGAGGATTCCACCCCCATGGAGTCCAGCAAGCTAAGATCCACTGGCTTGAAATTCTTGCTGCCAGCACAGTAGTCTGAAGTTGACCTCGGACGCTTGAGTTTGGTGAAGGGAGGGGCTTCCACCATTACTGAGGCTTGAGTAGGCAAATTTCCCCTCATAGTGTAAACAAAGCCATTGGAAGTTTGAAATGGATGGAGCCCACCACAGCTCAGCAAAGCCGCTATAGCCAGACTGCCTCTCTTGATTCCTCCTCTTTGGGCAGGGCATCTCCAAAAGAAAGGCAGCAGCCCCAGTCAGGAGCTTATAGATAACACCCATCTCCCTGGGACAGAGCACCTGGGGGAAGGGGCGGCTGTGGGTACAGCTTCAGCAGACTTAAACGTTCCTGCCTGCTGGCTCTAAAGAGAGCAGCAGAGCTCAGCGCTGTGCTTGAGCTCTGCTAAGGGACAGACTGCCTCCTCGAGTGGGTCCCTGAACCCCATGCCTCCTGACTGGCAGATAACCCCCAGCTGAGGTCGACAGATACCTCATACAGGAGAGCTCTGGCTGGCATCTGGCAGGTTCCCCTCTGGGACGAAGCTTCCAGAGGAAAGAACAGACAGCAATCTTTGTTGTTCTGCAGCCTCTGCTGGTGATACCCAGGCAAACAGAGTCTGGAGTGGATCTCCAGTAAACTCCAGCAGACCTGCAGCAGAGAGGCCTGACTGAAAGAAAACTAACAAACAGAAAGAAATAGCATCAACATCAGCAAAAAGAATGTCCACACAAAAACCTTATCCAAAGGTCACCAGTATCAAAGACCAAAGGTAGATAAATCCACGAAGATGAGGAAAAACCAGTGAAAAAAATGCTGAAAATTCCAAAAAGCAGAATTCCTGGTACCAAAACAAAGATATAGACCAATGGAACAGAACAGAGGCCTCAGAAAGAACACCACACATCTACAACCATCTGATCTTTGACAAACCTGACAAAAACAAGCAATGGGGAAAGGATTCCCTATTTAATAAATGGTGTTGGGAAAACTGGCTAGCCATATGTAGAAAACTGAAACTGGACCCTTTCATTATACCTTACACAAAAATTGACTCTGGATGGATTAAAGACTTAAACGTAAAACCTAAAACCATAAAAACCCTAGGAGAAAACCTAAGCAATATCATTCAAGACATAGGCATGGGCAAAGACTTCATGACTAACACACCAAAAGCAATGGCAACAAAAGCCAAAATAGACAAATGGGATGTAATTAAACTAAAGAGCTTCTGCACAGCCAAAGAAACTATCATTAGAGTGAAAGGCAACCTACATAATGGGAGAAAATTTTTGCAATCTATCCATTTGACAAAGGGCCAATATCCAGAATTTACAAGGAGCTTAAACAAATTTATAAGAAAAAACCAAACAACTCCATCCAAAAGTGGGCAAAGGATATGAACAGACACTTCTCAAAAGAGGACATTTATATGGCCAACAAGCATATGAAAAAGAAAGCTCATCATCACTGGTCATTGGACAAATGCACATCAAAACCACAATGAGATACCATCTCATCCCAGTTAGAATGGTGATTATTAAAAAGTCAGGAATCAACAGATGCTGGAGAGGATGTAGAGAAAAAAGAATGCTTTTATACTTTGATGAGAGTGTAAATTAGTTCAACCATTGTGGGTCACAGTGTGGTGATTCCTCAAGGATGTAGAACCAGAAATACCATATGAAACAGCAATTCCATTACTGGGTATATACCCAAAGGATTATAAATCATTCTACTATAAAGACACACACACACACACACGTATGTTTATTGCAGCATTATTCACAATAGCAAAGACTTGGAACCAACCCAAATACCCATCAATGATAGACTGGATAAAGAAAATGTGGCACATATATACTATGCAGCTATAAAAAAGGATGAGTTCATGTTCTTTGCAGGGACATGGATGAAGCTGGAAGCCATCATTCTCTGCAAAGTAACAAAAGGACAGAAAACCAAATACTGCATGTTCTTACTCATAAATGGGAGCTGAACAATGAGAACACATAGACACACAGAGGGGAACATCACACACTGGGGCCTACTGGAGGGTGTGGGGCTAGGGAAGGGATAGCATTAGGAGAAATGCCTAATGTAGATGACGGGTTGATGGTTACAGCAAACCACTATGGCACGTGTATACCTATTTAATATGCATGTTCCGCACACATACCCTAGAACTTATATAGAGAGAAAACAAAACAAAAAAACCATGACGAACTCCTTAGCCTGTTCCCTGTCATCTCATTCACACTTACAACTTTTATTTTCTTCCTCCTCCATTCACACCAATGATGTGTCTGTCAACCTCCTCTTTTGCTATTACAAATGTTTATGTTACATGTCCTGTACTTTCAAGCCCTTGCTCATGCTGAAACTCTAGTTGCAATATTCTTCTTCCCTTCTATGAATCTTCAAATCCTACCCATCTTTCAAGGTGTAGTTTAATGGATTCTCCTTCTCAATCCCTGAATGTCTTACTGGATCTGATGATTAGATGGAATCACAACTTCTCCTA